AACTTCCGCACTTGTATCGAGTATAGCTCGCGCATTAATAATTAAAGACTATTCGAGTATATTAACGATAATTTTAAAAGTTAACGAATAATAATAAAAGTATTTAAAAAATAGCTAGCTAAACGTCGAAGCAAAGCCGATTTTCGTTAAAAGAGGTTTCGTATTACTTTCGATTACGGTTCGTAATATACGTCGATCTTAACGAATAAACTAATCGAAAAGAAAGTATTAAAATTAAAAAACACTATAAAACACGGTTATAAAAAAAGTCGGAATAAAGCTAATAATAAAAATAAAGTAAAACCGCTTTTAAATCGAAAGAGCTTCGAGTACGAAAAGCGTATTGCGTCGGCGATGCTTAATTTAGCTATTACGGATGTTCTTTTGCAATTAAAGTTTAGTTATTTAAAAGAATTCGAATAAGCGTTTAAGTTAAAACCGTTAAGCAATAGCATTTTTATATAAGTTCCGTTTTAATCGAGCAAAGACTTATGTAAAGTCTGCTTTATCGGTAATTCGGCCGTAAATCGACGTAATAAAAGAAAAAGAAAAAAGTAAATTCTTGCGATAAAGCGCTTTATTAATAAAACGATCCGTAACTTTGCAAAATAAATCGCTATTAAATAAAAAAATATTACTTTCTTTTTAAATAAGCCGCTAAAGCTTTAAAGCAAGTCCGTCTTTCGTTATATTATCCGTCGCTTTCGGTATAAGTTTGCTACTTATAATTAAGCAATCTTCCGAAGCTTTCGCAAAGCTAACCGTAACTTAAAAACAATTAATAGCGCTTTCGTTAATAAAGGTTTACTAAATCATTTTATCGATTATACTTTCGAAAGAAGATCGTTTAAAAGTAAAAAAAGCAGCGAAGAACGCAATAGTCTTACTAAGAGTTAAGTTTTTAAGCAAATCGCGCTTTTTTAAAAGCTTAATACGAGTCGCTTCGTAGTTTATTTTTAAAAAAGAGATTACTTTGCTAAGCTTTTCGTATAATTTAATAGTCTTAAAAAGCTTGGCTTTAAGCTTAAGTGCAGCTTTAAAAGCTTTTAGCAATATAACGAGCAGATTTCGTAAGTCTTTCGATCGTAAAGCGTTTTAGTTAAGAATCGCGATATAAGCGAGCTCGAGCTTATTTATTTCTATTAGCTTAACGAAAGTAATTTTAAGCTAATTATAAATAGATTAGACTTTTGCTTTTACCGAAAGAGCGTCTTTTAGCGAGTATAGCGTAACTCGAAAAGCCGCGTTGCGCGCTCGAGTCTTTATTAATATAATAATAGCTTTTGTATTAAACACGTAAGCATATAAATTCGCCGACGTAATATATCGCTAGCGAATTATATTCAAAGTATTAAAGTCGTTAATACAAAAAGCTTTCGTATTGCCGCCGTTAGCTACTCGAATAAGCGTTTTAACGCGTTTTCGTATAGCTTTTTTAATAGATTCTCGTTATGCTTTTAAAGCTTTATAACGACGCTTAAGATTAAGATTATTTATTATCTTACGAACTTTTTTTAGAATTTGCTCGTACTTAAAAGTATCGTTTCGAAATTGAAATAAAATCGATAGTATTTCTTTTCGATACGATTTTATATATATTAAGTCCGCTTCGTTAAAATGAAAAGCTAGTTTATACTAAAGCATAAATAAATAGCATTGATTTTGATATTTATAAAGCTTTTGTTAATAGCTAAGTAGATTAAAAGTCTATTAATACTAATAGAAAATGCACGTAAAATCGTTTAAAAACCGTTTTTTTTTCGATATAACGTAGCTTCGATTCGAATAAGTATCGGCCGCATTAATCTCGTAAACTCGGTGCAAAGCAATCTTTTAAGTCTTTTCGTATTAAGCTGCTTTTAATAGGTTTACATAAGCTTCTTTCGGTACGAGTGCGAAGCTATTAATGAATCTTAAGTAAATATTAACTTTCGTTAATTGTTTTATAAAAGCTTCGATCTTTAAGTCAAGATCGATGAATAAAGTAATCGAACTCGTAACGGTAATGCTTGCGCGATAAAAAAGAAAGGTATAAGTATTATTAAAATAAGTGCTATAAAAAAGTAAAACGTATAAGTTTCGCTTGCTCTCGAGAATGACAAACGGTACTTAAAGACGAGAGTTTTCGTTTTAATAAAGATTATAACGAGAAAAAGCTTTAAAGATCTTAGCGTAATCGTATTTTTTAATTCGTTCCGTAATGATCTGTTCTTGCTTAATTAAATCGCTTATTATAATATATATTATATTATAAGTCTGCAAGTGATCTTCTTTCGGTTTAACGTTCTTTTAAGTCCGATTTTATATCGATAGTAATAAGCAATTAAAGAACTTTTACTTTAGTTGCTTATTAGTAATATCTTTATTAACTAAACAAGCAAGGCTCGTAAGATTAAACTATCGGATAAACTATAAAAGCTCCGCTTTAAAAGCTCTTTTTTTTATTATTTACTTATTATTTAAGTCGTTCAAAAAGCTAATACTATTTTTCTATTTAATTAAATCGAAAGCTTTGTACTTTTCTTTAACTACCGATTTAAAATCGTCTTAAATCACTTTCGGATTCGAAAAGCCGCCGAGGCTCTTGATATTATAACATATATTATAATCGAAAGGGTTAGAAATATTATATTTAATAAAGCATTGCTTTTTCTTTAAATCGATAACGATACCGTAATCTTTAAACGCTCGTTCGAGCTAACGAATATAATTCGTAATATTAGTTTTATCGAAAGCAAGCATTTTAAAAGCTTTAAATCTAAAGAGAAGTCTACGGATACTTACGTAATTTAAAACATTTACGAAAAGTAAGAAAGCTTGAATCTTTTTTACTTTATCCTCGATTAGCTTGCGAGTAGCATCTTCGCTAAGTCCGAAATCCTTTTAAGTCGAAGAAGTTATAGCTCTTTTTAGTTTTCGAGAGCTTTAACGTAAGCCCGTTAAGTTGAGTTAATAAATATCGATTAAAATATAAAAGTATTTCGAAACGGATGCGAAAAGAAAACGAGAATGATATAAATATAAATAAATAATAAAAATGAAATAAGTATAATTTGTAATAAATGTTAAATACATAAAGAAATATTATAAAAATATAAAATCCCGATGCGTTAAAAGTAATTTATTAAAAAGTCGAGTATCGATCGCTTCGAGCTAAATAATCGAAACTAAATCGATATAATAAATAATATTAATAATACGTTTAACTCTTAAACGTAAGATCCGAATAAGCGGAAAAGTAATTGCCGAGATTAAATATATCGAAATAAAAACGAAGTAAAGTAATAGCCGAGCTTCCGTGCAAGTATATAACTTGCTTTTAATATAATGCGATACCGAAACGGTTTCGAATTGCATAACACTTATTTCCGCTCGTTATATCTTTTATTTATTAAAGCGAAAGATATTCGAAAGCAATTCGAAGTCTTTATACGTAAGCTCCGTTGCAAAGCAAGTGTTGAATTTTTTAACTTCTTAAGCTTAGCGAAGTATTTCCGATACTTAGCTATTGCTTACTTTTCTAAAGAAAAAAGAGCAGTAGACTCGTATTAAAAGCGATGTTAAATCGAAAAGGTAAAGTATATTAAACGAATAGTACTTCGGGCGTATCGCCGTGCAAAGTAGTTTAAGTGAATAGAACTTTATAAATATCGAATTAAACTCTAGCTAACTCGATCTTTGAATTAAAATAGCGACTTTTTAAATAGTACTTATCGAGTATACTAAATAGCATGCTCGACGGATATAAATCGAAGAAAGATCGCTTTTAAAGCAATAGCCTCGAAGCTTATATATAAAAGCACTTGATTGTTAGCTTAGCGTATATCGAATACTTTTTAAAAAAGCACCGCAAAAGCATATAGTCAATAGCTTAACGTATGACGTAAACTCCGAATATATAGCTTTTCGCAAAAGAAGTAAGTCTGAAAAAAGTATAAAGACTAACCTTTAGTTCGATTCTTTACGTAGATTACTAAATATATATAAAAGAAAAGAGCTCCGATATATACTTAACGTCAAATCAAAAGATATATACGAATATAATCATAATAGAATCGTAAATAAATAAAAAAAGAAAAGGAAGACGATCGAAAGACACTCGAACGTGTGCTATAAGTACGTGTATTGTATTGTGTATAATATAGTGTTAGTTCAAAGAGGAACCAACTACTCGTTTATATAAAAGCTTGTACGTGACTTAACTACGTGCTTAACAAAGCTAGAGCATGCAGCGCACCCACGTGACAAAGGTGCTTAGCATCAGTATTATATACATGGACAAAACAAATACAGAGTGTCGGTATCTCCATATCGACCTTAGCTAGCTAGTAATAGTAGTTGAGGGAGCTCACCCGTGAACCATGGTTCACGGGCCACTTGGCATGCCTCGCTTAACATGTCAACAGTCAAAGGACCTCCAACTTGACAAGTAAGCCTATTAGTTAGCTAGTGCACGTGATTCCTTTTAATCTTATAAAAGGAATCAGCTCTCTTGAATCTTAAGAAGCAAACAGAATTCAGATACCTTATCAACCGAATGTTTTGCAATTGCAAGTACTTTA